ATAAACACCATACACATAATAAAAATAAACTACATTTTAAAAAAGAAAAGTAGTTCTTTAGCTGGGCTTGGTGGTATACACCGGTAGTTACAGCACTTAGGAGACAGAGGCAGGAAGATCACCATGAGTTGTAGGTCATCCTGGGCTACATAGTGAATTGAAGGCCAACCTGAGAGTGTCTCAAAAAAAAGAAAGAAAAAGGGGCTTGCGAGATGGTTCAGTGGGTTTAAGGGTGCTTGCTGCAAAACTTGACAACCTGAGTTCAATCCCTGGGACCCTTGTGGAAGAAGAGAACTGACTCTCACAGGTTGTCCTCTGATCCTACATGTGGGCCATGCTGTGTGTCCCTCCACCCTCCTCTTCCCATTGATACATATATACACAAATATAATTGAAAGCAAAAGAAATGTAGTTTTTACAGTCAGGCACCTTTTCTCTAGATGCTCCAAAGAGAGTCTGAGATGGATTTCTCTGGATGCCCCATCATTGCTCCACCCAGTGCCTGACACAGAGAGTGCCTAGGTTGAGTGAACTAACAAGACTAAATGAGCTCCTGCAATGAATTTGTGCAAGTGTAATAAGCAAAGCTGAGCCTCTGTTCCCCATTCTCCAGAGTGGCAATTATAGCTACTTAATGAAATTAATTCTATATATTGATTAATCAAATGACTTCAGTTGCCAGGGTTCCGGCATTGACCCTGCATGTTCTCTGTTTTCCATTGGTAAAGTAGGGATATTAATAGTGTCTACGTTGGATGAAATATGTATCTTAGTTGGTAGAGTGCTTGCCTAGCATGTGTCAAGCTTTGATTCCCAGCCTTGCATGAGGCATGTGTGGTCACACATGCTTGTAATCCTAGCATTCAGAGGTGGAGGCAGGAGAATCAGAAGTTGAAGGTCATCCTCAACAGCATAGTAAGTTTGAGGTCAGAAGAGGCTGTCAGAGTCCCCTGAAACTGAAGTTAAGGATGGTTTGTAGCCACCATGTGGGTGCTGGGAATCAAACCTGGGTCCTCTGCAAAAGCAGTCAGTGCTCTTAACTACTGAGCCATTTCTTCAGCCCAGAGACTCTACTTTTTTTAAAAAAAAAAAAAACAATATTGCCGGGCTTGGTGGTGCATGCCTTTAATCCCAGCACTTGGGAGGCAGAGGCAAGCAGATCTTTGTGAGTTTGAAGCCAGCCTGGTCTATATAGCAAGTTCCAGGACAGCTGGGGCTACAGGGAAACCCTGTCTCAAACGACAAAAAAAAAGCATTATTCTGTGTGTGAGGTGTCAGTGCTTTGTGTATATGTATGTGTAGATCAGAGGACAACTTGTGGGAGTCAGTTCTTTCCTTCTACCTTGTAGGTTCCAAGGATTGAACCCAGGTTGTCAAGCTTGGCAGCAAGTGCCTTTACCTGCTGAGCCATCTCACCAGTAGAGACTACCTTAAAAAAAAAAAAAATGTGCTAGCAGGGTGTGGTGGCACATGCCTGTAGTCCTAGCACTTGGGAGGCAGAGGCAGGCCTGGTCTACATAGTGAGTTCCAGGACAGCTGGGGCTACAGGGAGACCCCGCTTCAAAAAGACAAGAAAAAAAAAAATGCCTGGTGTGGTGGCAGATGCCTTGAATCCCAGCACTAGGGAGACAGACACAGGTGGATCTCTTTGAGTTCAAGGCCAGCCTGGTCTATGTAGTAAGTTTCAGGCCAACTGGGTCTACAGAGAGACCCTGTGTCAAAAAGACCAAAAAAAAAAAAAAAAAAAAAAAAAAGGGCTAGAGAGATGGCTCAGAAGTTAAGAGCACTGGCTGCCCTTGCAGAGGACCCAGGTTTGGTTCCCAGCACCCACATGGTGGCTAACTCCAGTTCCAGGGGATCCAATGCTGGCCTTCTGACCTGCATGGGCATTGTACACATGGGTGCAACTTACATGCAGGCAATACACTCATACATATAAAAATAAATCTTAAAGTACCTACCTCATTTGACTTAAGATTAAATGAGGTAACAAAGCAGAGGTATGCCTAGGACATAGAGGTGTTCAGTGTTGTTATTACTGTGGGGATTTAAGTGGGATTTAAGCGTGGTAACTATGTGTAGGTCAGAAGTCCTGTATATGCTGCATGTAGTCTTGGCCATCCTTCAAGACGCCTATGAGAGAGATTTTTGGTCCCTTCACCTTCCTTCCTTTTTAGGGTAGGGTGCTTTGCATATAGGTCTCCCTTATGGATCAGTATAGGCTAGGGTAGAGAGAGAACCCTGGGAGCTGGTTTCTGGTGCTTGCGGAGGGTGGTTAAGTTGGTGGGGCAGAAGAGCCGCTCCCTGGGCAACGTCTGCCGGGGTAGGGTGCCCTCTTCTGATTAGAGGTGGGAACAACCCTGGCTCAGGGTTTCTGGAATGGGCCTACAGGCTCTGGCTACCTGCATGGTGTTTCCTTTTTGTTTTTTGCCAGCTCCTTTTGTTGAAAGCCCCAACCAGCCGGAAGGACGAAAGTCTGGGGAGGGCCTTTGTAAAGGCTGCGGCAAAACAGGCTCAATGTTTCCGGGGAGGGCAAAGCTGTGTAGCTGGGTAACTGGAGAATGGGGGTGGAGGAGAGAAGGACCAAGTCAAGGACAGAAAGACGTTGGGTCCACTGAATGCATTTTATGTTCTTTCAACAGGTGATGGCGTGTACCAGAGGTAAGATGACACGGTGGCTTATCCAACATGTCAAAACCAGGTTCCCGGGGCTCTCCCGATGCCCCCTCGCAGTCAGAAGTAGCGGGCAGAGCAGCCTGAAGAGCCTTGGCTTCAGGTTACGCCAGATGAAACCGGGGAGTAGGGGGTCTGGGTCCTTGAAGGGGGAGGAGCCAGTGTAGACCCGGGCGCAGTTTCCTCCCTAAGTTCCGCCCCCGACGCGCCGGCCCGCCTTTTGCGGTTCGGCTGCACCCCGCCCCAGTCACTTGCCCCCCCCCCACCCCCCGCTACCCCGGGCCGGGCGGGGGCTCCCGGCCTATAGGGGTCCGGCCCCCTCACCACTACCGCCTGGGTGAGTAAGGGAAGAGCCAGCCGGGTCAGGGCAGCCCCTGGGAGCCCGGCCAAGCGGTCCGGTGTCCGCAGGCCTGGTGCCTGCCGCGCTTCCTGCACACCATTCGGATCTCGGGAACGGGGCGAATCCCGGGAATAGCTGACTTCCCGCCCTTCCCGCTCCCACGCGGGACTAGGTGTACAGGGATTAAACACTCCTTTCTTCACTAGCAGGGCCTCCTGGTCAAGAGCCCTCCCAGGCGCTGCGGATGGAGGCGTGGGGGAGTCTTGGAACCTCATAGACTAATTTCGAATCTCAGCCCTGCCAAGTTATTAGCCTGTGGCTTTGAGTAAGTGGTTTTAACCACCCTGAGGCTCAGTTTCCTCTTCTGTAAAATGGAAACTCAGACTATTATTGCATTTACCCTGTAGAATCATAGGATTGAAGAGAACAATGTATCAAATGCCAAGCCCAGAATGCAGATTGTGACTGGAGGGTAGGAAGAAAATCTTAGGGACTTTGGATATGAAGTGGGGATACTCCTAAGAAAGCAGTTTTCAGAGACCTGAGTCTCTGTGCCTGTAAACCTAGAAACCGAGAGGCAGAGACAGGAGGATTGGGACTTTCCAGCCAGCCTGGGCTATACAGTAAGACCCTTTCTGTACCCCCACCCACACCACTCCCCCCAGTATCTTCTTAAGAATACCTGGGAGGAAGTTAAAGTTGTCTGGGGGGAAGAACTTTTGCTAGTGATCTCTCAGTCCAGAGATAGGTTGCAGTGACCAAGTTTGGAAGGGCTTTGTAAGTAATCTAAACCCTGTGAGTTCTGTTCAACTGTTGAAACAGACCCAGAGTTGTTAGGTGACTTGCCCAAGTCACACAACTAAAAGGGAGACCAGGTTTACTCAGAGAAGTGGGACAGCCTGTCTTCTTTGTTTTGTTTCTGAAATTGTTCTTGAACTATCTCATCATTCCCTTCGTGGGGTAGGACTTGTTCATACCCTGAAGATGTGGTCTTCAGTTAGAGGACCCCAATGGTTCCCAAGGAATAAGCACCTGGCTTAAGTTCAGAGCCTGGGCGTGCACCTGGTAGGGAATGTGCTCTCATCTAGGGCCCTCAGGGCCTTATAGTCCATCTATGGAAGATCCAGGGAATGGATTGGATCTTAGAGGGTCACCTGTGCCACTTCCAACTCCCTGGAAGATGCCTGACCAAATATTCCCCTCCCTAAAGGGAGAGAAGGACTTGAATCTGAAGAATCTGGAGTAGGCTGCCTGACCTGGCCTGGCAGAGAGGTAGGTGGGGAAGGTAGATTGAAAACACAGAGGTGTGATCACCTGGTTCTGGAATGCCAAGAGACAGGCCAGTCTGAGATCAGAGTTCCGTTTAAGGGTGGGGCCAGAAAGTTATGATTTGAGACTGGAAGGGCAGGTTCTTTATGTATCTGGAGCCAGCTGTAGCTTGGCACCAAGAAGCCTAAACTCTGGGAATGACTATCCACTTCCCTGCTTTGAGGGAAAGTCTTTCTTTTTCTGCCTCTCAATTTCTCCTTTTTATAATTTTCTCCCTTCTTCACTCCAGTCCCAATGTGATCTTTCTGCCTAGAGCTGTGGCCCAGAGAAGAAGGAAGTCCAGAGTTGTAGTGTATGATTCTTTGTGGACCCCACATCTCCCTACTGCTGACCTTGAGTAGATTCCTGTTTTAGGTTCCCTTCTATACTCTGAGAGGGGCTGGGCTAGGGTTGTTAATATGTACTTAGCTGTTATAGTACCTGACCTTAGAAACACTTGTCTGAGGGAAATACCAGTCTTCAAGAGCCCCTACCTAGTCTCAGGAGGCACTGGGTACTGTGAAGCCTCCAGATGCTGACCAAGCAGCTCTGCCTGCAAACAGCAAGCTTAGGCTAGTGCCAGGCCTGATTCTGCAAAGCCTTTCACCCTTCAAGTACATGAGGCAGCAAGCAGGGACAAGCATGGGGTGGAGGTTCTGTCCGCTTCCATGGAGTTCCAGTGTGGTAGATTGCTGTGTCTGCACACAGCACACCAGAGTCTGGGAAGGGCCTAAAGGTGCAGCAGGGCCCTGAGCTGATTGGGTGAAGTAGTGAGAACTGCGAGGCCCTGAACCAAGAGGCTAGAGCAGAGGCTTGGAGTTGGGTGGGGGGAACGTGGGCCAGTCTGTCTGATGACTGGTTTTAATTTTGGTTCTTGAACCAATGAGAGACTAGATAAACCAATCCAAGGCCTGTTTAGCTAGAGGGTTGAGGAGGTCTCCCAGTCTGTTTCACACTTATTTAGTAAGGTTGGAGCTCATTGTTTTCCCCCTGAAATTGATGAATATTGGTCTAGGATTCTGAGCCAGTCTTCCTCATCCAGGACAGAAACTATGAAAGTTTTAGAGTATTTCTTCTCAGACTCCCCACCCCATAGCATAGCTCAGTTTAGGATTGAACATGAGAACTAACTTCACCTCAGCCCTGCTGCCTGGGGCCCTGACAGCATGCCTCTCCATCCCCAGGTCTGACAAGATGTACCAGATTCCACTGACGCTGGACCGGGATGGGACCCTAGTCCGGCTCCGCTTCACCATGGTGGCCCTGGTCACAGTCTGCTGTCCACTTGTGGCCTTCTTCTTCTGCATCCTCTGGTCTCTGCTCTTCCACTTCAAGGAGACAACATCTACACACTGTGGGGTAGGGCTTGGGGGGCACTGTTATTTCATGTTCAGGCCCAGCCGGATCTTTTCTGGGATCCTGATTTGATTTTAACAGGATTAGCCAGTTCTCCAGTGGACTCTACCAAACGTGTGTGTGTGTGTGTGTGTGTGTGTGTGTGTGTGTGTGTGTGTGTGTGTGTGTGTGAAGGGGTGCTTGCAAATTGGTCTCAACTAAAGTTGGGCAGTCCCTAAACTCAGAACCCAATCACCACTTCACAGAGGAGCAGATTCAGGAGCCCTAGGGTATTCTGGCAGGTGAGGAGAGAATAGCCCTGGGCTGGAGGACATTTGGGGGTCTCATAGTGTGGCACTGTAGGCTTGTGACTGTGTCTATGGGAATGTGATTTGTGTGTGTGTGTGTGTGTCTGTCTGTCTATCTGTCTGTCTGTGCGTGTGCGTGTGTGTGTGACTGTGAGGGACATGCCTGCATTTAATGACTTCAAGTAGGGTACGTATATGTGTGAGAGAAACCATCTCTCCCTGTCTGATGGAGACATGATTATGCACAAGGATGTATGTTCTGGCGTGGGTCCCATGCTCAACGAGGATACCTGGACGGTGAAGAAAAATTTGAGAATTTCTTTCTCCATAATATTTAAGAGTAAATGGGGTGAGGCTTGTGTTGACCTGTTATACTCCTCATTCACCCACTGACTCAGTACTACCTGAGACCCAGAGGCTGACCTTCAGTTTCTGTTGTCTATAGTGAGGTTGATTGATAATGCCTGCCTTGCTCCCTTCCAGGGCGAATGTAGAGTTCCAGGTAGAGGCAGCATGGGTATGTGGGTTGGGGAGTATGATAGGTAGAGAACAAGAGGAGGAAGAAAATGAGGAGTAACAAGAGATTATAAGATTAGGAAGCAGCACAGGAAGGAAGTTCACCTAGGCCCCAGGTAAAGAGGCAGGGCCTGGACTGGGAGCTTAGCTAGCCTTAGAGCTCTGACAGCCCCCAGCCAGCTTCCTTTATAGGATGATCCTCACTTTGCTATGAAGATCATTTGCTCCAGAGGAGATCTAGGTCTAGTGTCGGGGGGAGGATTTATCAGGGAGTTTGGGGTGAAGGACTTACATCTTTTGTTCCTGTGGCTTGAAATTTTCCCTTTTGATTTATCAGTGGGTAAATCTGAGCCTTGAATTGGGGGCATACATTCTGATGAGACCTGAGGCTGGGAGTTATCAAAGGAACAGGAAAGCCAGATGTGGTGGCCCATGCCTGTAATCTCAGCACTGGGGAGGCTGAGGCAGAAGGACTCACATTCAAGGTCCACCTAGGGTATGGAGTGAAACCCTGTCTATCCACCCTCCAAATAATATAATAATAATAATAATAATAATAATAATAATAATAATAATAATAATGAACAAGACTGCAAGAAAGAGTGACTAGGGAATCTGATGGCAAAGAGCCTTTCCTAACCTAATACTTACCTCAGATGATGCATCATATGTTTCCATTACCTTTGTTGACTCCTTTCCATTCTGAAAAATCCTTTCAAGGTGTTGCCTCTTCCAGAATACCTTCCCTAGCTTCTTTGAGACAAACTTAACTCCTTTAGGTGCCTGCTGTTCTTTGTGTTACCACATAACATTTCTTTCATACCATATTTTTACCTGTCTTTCTTACCAGACTGGGATCTCCATGGGAATAGTACTGCATCTGAGTCAGAAAGAATTTGTTGAATAAATAGATAGGACTCCCCAGCCTAGTGCCTTGGGAAAAGGAAGGTAGGACAGAAGGCAGTTATAGTCCAAGCAACATTATAAAAATTTTATAGCATAGGAGTTCAATAGAGTAGGCTGTTTTCTCTGTCCTTCTGGCTGGCCCTGAGGGCTAATGGAACCAGTAATCTCAGCATGTCGTATACACCCACTACCCACTCTTGGCATAATAGGGAACTAAAACATAGGTAGTTGCCGGGTGTGGTGGCGCACATCTGTAGGCCCAGCACTCAGAAGGCAGAGGCAGGAGGATCTCTGTGAGTTCAAAGCCAGCCTGTTCTACATAGTGAGTTCCAGGCCAGCTGGCACTACAGGGAGACCCTGTTTCAAAAAGACCAAAAAAGGCCAGGCATGGTAGCCCACGCCTTTAATCCCAGCACTCGGGAGGCAGAGGCAGGAGGATCTCT